CCCACCGGGGAGGAGTGCGCGAGCGGCTGTGTGGCGCTCAGTTGCCGGCTGAGGTTAAACCACCACAATAATCACATCCAAATGAGTTTTAGTCTTCCTAGCTTGGGTATCAGCAGCTGAGAAATAACACAATTTCAGTTCCATGCCTTCCAAGCTGGATGAAGAAAGATAACTCAGTATTTTATTGCACTTCTAATGGTAGCATGGCTCCGTCCTTAACGTTGACTTTTCTTTATTGTTGCACCCATGATTTTCAGGCTTTCCAAATCTGTCATTTAATTTTTAATAACTATTTGCTTGAGCATTCAAGTTCCAAAATACCAGTGGCCAAACTTCAGAATCTGTCTTGAGACATTTTTCAAGCTCAGATTTATCCATAAGCTTTGCTAATGGTAAAAATAATAAATTAGAAAATTTTTGGAGGAGAAAGTCTGCAAGCAAATGCAAGATATTCTATCCAAATGGTGTATTAAAACCAGGATAGCAATTTATATAGATAACAGGAAGTGTGTACACCTGTATAACTCAACAATGGAAATTAGAATTGAGGTTTTGATTTCTATAGCTGTTTTTTCATGAACTCAGGTTAGAGGACTGCTCACCATTCATGTAAATATGAAACAATGGAAAAGAACAAGCAATGAGCAGGTCTTTATAGCAGGGAGATAATTTTGAGTCGGGGGGTGAGAAATGTACTTGTTAAGGAGAACTGCTAAACAATAACTGCATGATTTCCATTTTCTAAACCACTCAAGCTGGTGTTTGTTTGATAAAGCCAAAGGGACTTTCTGCATTGGAAAAATGATTAAATAGCAAACATTTTTTTTAAAACATGCAGTTAGAAAGTTATTTCAGAGAAATACCTTAGTATAAGATACTCACGTATCTTCACTGTAAAGGAATGTCTTGCTAATTATGACACTGTGGATAACTCTCACAGTCTTGCTTTGTTTCAATTTGATTTCAATTGAACATTTTTGAACAGTAGTTTAGTTTGAGGTTTTTTTACCACCTTTCAAGCATTTGTACTCTGTGTGTGTGTATATATATATATGTTATTAAACTTATGTGAAAATATGTCTCCTTTGAAAACACATCAGCTGCATCCCTATTTGCTCCCTTAAAATTTGGTAGCAATAATGTACTGGGAAGTGATGATAGAATGTGTTGCAATTATTGTCTTTGGTTATGGACCTTGAGTTCAGGTTAATTTATCTTTTTTATACTTTATATCTAGCTCATTTTTAAATGTTGTTTTGAACAAAGAAGATAGATACCTTTTGAAAATGTGAAAATGAAGTGTTTCATATTTCTGGAATATAACTTTTCAGTTAAAGGTGTTGAATTGAACCATTTTGCTTTTTTCAAAATTCCCTTGTTATCTTTTTAAGCCAAAATACTTTCCAGAATTTGGCCCACATGTATTGAATGTTTCTGTCCTTCTGAACCTCTTATTTCTAAGCAAGCACATAATACTGTGTTGGTGAATAAAAACCATCTGCTCCTCACATGTGAATCATCTGGGGCTACTGTTTGGCACAAAATGGTAACCAAAATGCTGTAGCTTGACTGTGGAGGAAATGGGGAATAGGAAAATTATTTTGTCTTGCATAAATTGCTAAAATATATTTAACTATATATTAATTGTCTTTGAATTAAATCCTTCTGTTCTTGACTGTCTTCCCAAACTAGAGACTGGCAGGCAGCCCTATCCAGAACAAAAGAAACACATGCTTATCTTTTAGTGTGGTTTTAAAATTAGTAGGACCTGTAGCTCATAGAACTTCAGCATTTGTCCAAGTTTACCATGCACTTAAGCATTGCCTTGAAGTGCCATGTCTGCATAAAACGTGGCTGTATTTGAAACACATCCCTGCCTTACGATGCTAACATTAAAGGAAAACACAACTTAAAGTATATTCTGACAGAAGTGTTTTGTTTCCTTCTCTTGCAGATGGGAAGCCAGTGTCGCTGTCTCCACTTGAATCCCAGCCCCACAGCCCTCGGTACACGGCGTCGAGCCAGCGGGAGCGCGAGAGCTTGGAAGTCCGCATGCGTGAGGTGGAGGAGGAGAACCGCGTGCTTCGCAAGCAGCTCAGCCTACACAACTTAAAGTATATTCTGACAGAAGTGTTTTGTTTCCTTCTCTTGCAGATGGGAAGCCAGTGTCGCTGTCTCCACTTGAATCCCAGCCCCACAGCCCTCGGTACACGGCGTCGAGCCAGCGGGAGCGCGAGAGCTTGGAAGTCCGCATGCGTGAGGTGGAGGAGGAGAACCGCGTGCTTCGCAAGCAGCTCAGCCTGGCACAGAGTCGCAGCCCCTCGCACCACCGCGGCAATCACTCCAAAACCTACTCCATGGAAGAGGGGACAGGCGACAGCGAGAGCCTGCGGGCTGGCATTGTGGCAGGGAACAGCTCCGAGTGTGGGCAGCAACCAGCAGTGGAAAAATGTGAGGTAAATAAACAAAAGGAACCTGCCAGAAACAAAGCTTGATAGATTTGATCCTTTAAGGACATTGCAGATCCCTATCTCCTTCCCCCTGAAACTTGCTGCTCAGAAACCAGCCTCTTAAAGGACTACTGGGCACAACTTTTTAGATATTTTTTAATTATTCTTTTTTTAAAAACTTTAAAACATTTAGTCATCTGAATATCTTTTGAGTTATTATTTGATCAGAGTTTTTTGTCTTTTTCATTCTTGTGTCCCCCGTCCTGGTGTAAAAATCAAAGCCTTGTTCCAAGCTGACTTCAATACGGCTGTGCTGATAAAGACCTGTGGCAAACTGACCTTGTGTGTTTCTAGATTAAATGAAAGCGCCACAGTGCTTTGAAACGCCTTATTCCTTTGTTTGTGCATCTGTACTAGACCAGTTCAGGGTTTACCGTTAATTAAATTGTGGCTTAGGAGCCAGCCTGTGCTTTTGAGTCACTTTCAGGAGTGTATCTGGATGCTACTGTGGAACCACCTGCTTTGTGTGAGCTGTGCACAAGAGGTGTGGTTAGCTGCAGGGAACAGGAGATCTGTTTCTACGAAGGTTTTGGGGGGTTGTTTTGGTTTGGTTTTCCCCATTTTATGCCCGTAGGTTTGTGGATGTCATCCAGCTATTTAGTTGCCAGGTATCTGAACGATGACAGTTCCGAATCTGGATAGATCCAAAACAGAAAGTCTTGCTTAAAGGCCTTGTGCCAATCCCAGCTGGTGAAAATATCAAAAATAATTCCTCCATTTATTTCTACAAGGAGGGTAATACCTTATCACCTTTTATCTTGCTTTCTGCTGCTGGGAAGATAAAAGTTGAAAGAAAATAAGTGGAAGAGAAAAAGAAGTCCTAATTACCTCTTCAGATAAAGTCTATTTAATGGGCAAATATCAAATATAGTTTAAAAATTAATTATTGCTTTCCAGTTGGACATCTTTGTCCATCGGTGTGGAAAAAGGGACGAACATTATTTTAAGGAGAGGGAAAAGGAGGAATCTGTTTTTCATTTTCCCTCCTCCCGATAACGAGGGTCTGATTTTCCTCCCTGTAAGCATTTTGGCATTTCTTTTAACAAGGGAAGGTTCAGGCCATCAATAAGCAAACCTCACTTCTCCCTTATTATCATGCCAAGCAGTGATGAGCTGAATCTCAATTCTTGGTTGTTCAATGTACCAACCAATTTGGGACACAAAAATAGCAGCTTAAAGGAGGAATAGTTTAAGTGGCCTTCCAGTTTATAATGTTTTTTGCCAATAAATTTACTTGCTTAGTGGGGTTTAGCATTGTGCTGGAGGCAATGGTTATATAAAATATGAAACCTCACTTTATTTGCCAACCCCCTATCTCACCGCACACTATTTTGATAACGAAATAGCTTTTTCTTCTTTTTCTTAAGGAATTCACTCAGTAATTCAGTAACAGCAATGGAAGTTAAAATTAAACTTCCTTATTATCAGATTTGCCAGAGGTCTCATCGTTTACCCTATTACTGTAGATTCTGGTTCCATGTTTGTGTGAGTGGTATCTTGACTGCATTCACCCTCTGTTTTCAGTGCTTCAGCGGTGTAAACTAAATCTCTTTTAGCCTCTGACCCTGGAATATATTACAGCTTCAGTCAACAACTTGGGTAGAAAGAGACAGGGGTCCTGAGAAGAAGACTGGGGCTCTGGGGGAGACAAAGAGAGCTAGGAATAGGTTGTTTATTTAATTGAGGCAGTTCTTTGAGATTTACTGAAGCTGACATTTCAGAATCTAATTTGGGATGGTCTTTAGTGATGATTAATACATTTGAAAATGCAGTTACAATGAATGAACGTTAAATATCTGATAAAGCATAATCTGTGTGATAATAATTGTGATCTATATCAAAAAATAGTGGGTTTGTTGCATTCCAGCCACTGCTTCCTACTCTGTTGCATCGCAGGAAGGCTCTTCTGATATTATAAAATGGACGAGCATTATACTGCAAGAAAAAGTCAGAGTTCCAACCAAGGGCCTTCTCTCTGGAGGGAGCAGATCCCTGTCGTGCCTTCCCAGTAGGAGACAATTTTAACACAAACCTTGGAAATATAAGTAAGAGTAATCCTTACACAGACGTAGGCACAAATAACAGGCTTCTGCAGAAGAGCTAGTGGTGATAGAAGCTAACAGAATTATATGACTCTTTCTCATGATGTTATCCCAGTATCTTTCCAGCTTGTGCCTCCATAAACTGGGCATTTAGTTTGAATTAAGTGTGCATTTATAAATATTTTTAAAAGAGATTATATATTAGAAAATGGTTAATGAGCAGTATAGCATTTAGTAGGTTAGCAGGATACTTAACATTTGAAGCATTTTTACAGGCATATTTGTATTGTTACTATTCTCAACGGTGTTGCTCAATAGGGTTAAGTGTGTAGTGCTCCAGAGCCACAAAGAACAGGTCCCCACCAACTTAATCACTGTAAAACACAGGAAAAGCAGATGTTACTTGCCTCTGGGAAACATTTGTAGCTTATTTACATTTTTGTAACATGCTTTTAATATCTCTTAACCACATTCAACAATTATTTATGAAGGATTAAGTAACTGCAATGGAAGGCCTGGCTAGTACTACTGGAAAATTATTGAAGTATGAAATGCTTTACCGAAGATTATCTTTAGCTATAAGAACTAATTAGAGTTTGTTAAGCTTGTTATTTCACCATTCCAAAAAGTAGCCTGAGGAGGAAAAAGAATATCTGTTTATCTAGGCACCTTATACTCCTCATCAGTGTGGGATCTAAGGCCCAGTTCTTCATGTGGTTTTGGATATTTTCTTCCCATTAATATTACCCCAGAATGGACTTACATGAAATACTGCTTTCATGAAATTCTGCTTTCAGAAAGTTTTTCCTGGTCTGTAGTGGTTAAAGTAATAGTTTCTAAACCACGTTAGCATGCACCTTGGATTATTCAAACTCCCTTTCCTAAAGAAGCTTAACTTCCTTAAATGCCTTTCAGTGCCGGGGCCTGAGCGCTCTCTAAACTATTTAAAATCAAAAAGAGTTCTCTTTGTGTCCCTGATCCCCAACCTATAGGAAGAACAGCTTGATTAACTTCCACAGTGTTTTGATTAGCTGTTCATATCATATAAGCAGAGGAAGAGTTAATTGAGTCTGGAAAGCAAGATGTATCATCATTTAATCTGTTGCTGCAGTGAGTTCCATAGTCTAAAAGCAGCTCCAGTGAATGGCCTGTGTCCAGACTTCTTGAAACATCTACTATTGATGAACATGCCTATCATTCAATTTAAAAAGAGCGTTGTAGGAGGATGGACACTGTCAAGGAGCTCAGCTTAGTCCCACAGTGACTTCTGAATATCCAGGCTAGAGTTTGATGACTAGAATTATCATGGATTGTAAAACAGCGAGGAGCAAGTGTAGCATGGAGAGCCTTGGTGTGAGATGTTTGGAGGGACATGTTGAACCAAGCAGAGAGGCTGCCACATGTTGTGGAAGTTGGAACATTCTTGGCTTATCTGGCTTCACTTCTAGGTGTTAGCTGCAGTCATCGAGTCTGGAGGTTGTGTTAATCACAGTGGCCAGTTCTGGTGGGATGGGGATACAATCTTCTAGCCATCTGCAGGCAGAAAATGAGGAGTTTGAGAAAGCTGTGATGCTGCCAACCAGTTTCATAATCTGGGAGTTGATGCTTACAGTAGTATACAGAGGAGGATGCAAGTTATTTGAAGTGCTTCCTTCTTCCAGCCACTATTGCCCTGTCTTGCCAGGATTTGGCTACAGCCAGTTGCTCTCTATCCAAACATGTATTTGGAACAAGCATGGAGAAAACTGGAAATAAAACTTCCTTTGTTAGGATGCAAACATCTGCAGACAGTTCAGGTTGTTGAGCTCATGTTGACTTACCAATTTTCCCACTATTTTGTTTAACAGTTAAACAATGAGGGAGAGGAAAGTGAATCAAGAAAAGGAGAAACAGACTGAGTCTTGCAGCATGCTGCAGGCAAAAACTTTGGAAAAAAAGGACTAAGTTTCTATTCTCTCTGAGGATTATTGCTCTTTCCTGTAGCTGATCGCAGGCAGCAATAGAAGAGATAAATAGTATCAAACACCACAGAGAGGCTGAGCAGAAGGTATATGGATGCCTGTGTCTCTGAACTGGAGAAGGATATTCAGAAGAGCAGCAAGTGCTGTCTTCTCACTGTGCCTTGGCTGAAACAGCATGCAAGACAATAGCACCTGCTAAAAGACACCAAGGAAAGCATACTTTTAATTTTGAAACAAAGTGATTTAGGAAAAGGAGAACAGATGCGGGAAGTCCTTGACAGAATCAACTCTGATTTTGTGGGGATTTGAAAGGTGGAGAGAGAGGCTGTGAGGAGAGCTTTTCTGATAAGTAGATGTAGTATAAAATGATGTTGACAGTGATATGACAGCGCTATTCTGTCAAAACCCATAAAATGTTTGTGTCTGGTCCAGTGTCTTCAGGTGAAGTGTTTAAAGCAGGCCTAAAACTGTTCTCAGTTAATTTGATTTTAATTGGCATTGAAGGGAAGGCTCTTAGGTCTTCCAAAAGCCTGAGAAAGACCAGGTGGCAACCAGAGAGGAGGCAGTGCATGCAGTGTC